GCACCTTTGGGATGTGTTCGAATAGTTCACATGATTGGTTCATCCATGCTTCACATCATGGATGTGCAGCTTGCAAATCTGGAGACACTGTGTGATGCTATCATGTCAATATGCACTAAAATCTTTTCAGCACCTTGTTGAATCTGTACCATGAAGAATTAAAGCAGTTCTGGGTGGGAAAAGGGGCCTTGAACACCAAACGGTAAAAGCAAGGTTTACATAATAACACGGCCTGCGTAAAGCCCACGGCGTTGAAAAATTAAACTTCCGGGAGTCCCGTGAACGCATCGCTGCAGGGGCGGCGTTAAAAAAGTTTTGAGGAAGTTTTTTTGACAAATCGAAACTGCCGCAGTTGTGACAGGAAGACTTGTCAGTTTGTCCTTATACTGTCTGACTGTCGGGGTTTTCTTCACGGGGAAAATGCAGAACAGTGCTTACGGGGCCTCTTTGGCCGGTGGCGCCTTTGATTTAGCGAACTTTCTAAAACAGCCTCAAACTATTTTGCGCTTCCTGAGCTGGGTGAGTGACTTCACGGAAACGTTAGCATCACAGTTAGCCAGCTGTCACTGCACCGAGTTTAGCTTAACAGATGTGCGCTGCCAGCGCCCACCCAAATTAGTGAAAAATGTGTTTTTTTTAGCTTTTTGTGCGGTCAACACGGGACATTATCTGAGTGTCACGTTTAAACATTTTAATGAGCTTTCAGTAAAGTGTCAAAAAGGTGTTTCTGTGGCTCTGGTTGGTGGTAGCTAATAATAACTAGCAACTGCCCAGTGCTGTGTCGCCACACTAACTGCCACATGATGATAAGCGATCTGCTGACTTTTAATTTAAAGTTACTGTGTTACCGTGGTTTAAAAACGAGACAGGTTAAAACAACAGGAGTTGTTTGCTTTTTTTCTTGCAGTTTTATAGTTTAGATAATTGTCAGAAATTGAAGCTTCCGCCGTCATCTGTTGTCAAGTCAACTCCAGTTGTCAGGTGATTGGAAATGCTTAATGTGTAGGCACTGCAGTGGAAGCTTACGTATGCAGTGTTACTAAAGCACACCTTCACAGTGCTTTGCAAGAAAAAAACCAATACTAACAGAAAACAGACAGGTAAAAGTTGTGCTACGGTGTTAACACTGTAGCACAACTTTTACCTGTCTGTTTTACCTGTCTGTTGAACTTAAATGCACTTACCGGGAAGCAAATTTGCTTCCCGGTAAGTGCATTTAAGTTCAGTGGGCCTATTAGTGAAAACCTACATCTGTGAACAAGACTGGTAGAAAACAAGGATATTTTATTTAACTAAAACTATGAATCAACTGTGTTCAAAAGGTTCCTGCACTGATTTTCCTAAATCTCGCTTCTGACATACACCCTCCATACAAGAATAATCAAAACAAAGGCGAAAACTAGCACTGAAATTTATAAATATTAAACTAAAACCTTTTCAAACAATATAAAGTAAACTGCAATAAGTCAATCCAGTTTGGAAACTAACTGAAACTAAACTGAAAGAAAAATGAAAAGTCACTATGTAATACAATTCAAAAGAATACAAAACTATAATAACTTCTGTAGGAAAGTTTAAGTGTTCAAATGTTATAAATAAAACCAACATGATTTTGCAGTTTATATTCTCTTCAGATGTCTTCGTGTAGAGTATTTATGAGAATGCTTAAAACCTGTTCAAAATCATACAAAATGCATGAAGTCTTCATGAATTAAGAAGCTAGAACGGAAGAGGTGTGCTCCAGTGAACAGTGACTCTGTGATTCGGTTGCCTTTTAAAAGTAGTATTTTCATTTTGTGTCACGTAATTGTGTAATGTTTTTCATGTTAGCTGTGTTATGAAAAAGGGGATGTGGGTCATGAATAGCTGAAAAGGTGGTGTTTTACTTGTTTAGATTGGATTGACAGATATTATTTTTTGATTAAAGAAGCTTTCTTGTAATGTGAGTCATGCTAATTCCGCAAACTCCATAGCTGCGTGGCTTAAACTTGGCCTTGACCTTTTTGTGTCCCGTCTTTGCAGATATTCTCTATCGTGGTTTTTGCAACCATCACAGCCGAAGGCTACCCCAACACGAAGGAAAAAGCTGAAAACGAGTGCATGTTCCACAGCACTGACAGTGCTTGCAGTTACGGGGTGGGAGTCGGAGTCTTGGCCTTCTTGGCTTGTGTTTTGTTCCTCGTGTTAGATGCCTACTTCCCGAACATCAGCAATGCCAAAGACCGAAAATACATTGTAATAAGTGATCTTGCTTTCTCTGGTAAGAGTTGGTTTTCATTTTTTCACCATATAGTTTAATGAAGGAACTGTGCCATAAATCAGGAAGTGAGACTTAAAGTTAACACATGAAACATGTTTCTCT